AGGCTGTGCGCACTCGCGGAGATTGGCGGCGGCGCTGCTGCGGTGGCCTGTCGCTGCCGCTGCTCACCTGTCAATCAAACAGGCCTGCCAAAAGGAAAACGAAAAATGGACAGCAGGCGAAGAGAGGGGTAAAAAGGAGAAGGAGAAGCAGCAGCAATAGCAAAAGTTGACTGCGCGATAAATGCGCGTTGCCTTGCGCGCGCGGGCGCTGGCTGACAAACCGAAGGGACAGAGAGCAGCGAAAGACAAAAATGAGTGAAATAAGCAGTTCTCTTTGGAGTAAAAGAAAAAAAGACGCAGGGGCATTGTTCAGAGGTCCTGCTTACCCCTTGCCTGCTTACCCAATCTCTTGCGCGGGGAATGTAGGCATTTGAAGCATTTAAATGACTCTGCAACGTACTTAAATCTTGGCACAATGCAAAAGCATTATCCCAGGATGGGCGCATCCTGAGGAATAGATCGGTGCACACGAATAATATATACTCCCGATCTACAACCGGCCAGACATCGACCTCGATGGCTAGTAATAATATATACTCCCGATCTACAACCGGCCAGACATCGACCTCGATAGCTCATAGATTTACATTAGATTTAAATTATTATTTTCGTTCATTAGTTTAATTTTACTCTTAGCTTAGTTCCGTTTTTAGTTTTGGTAGATAACGCCAAATTCAGATAGTTAGTTAGTTAGTTAGATAAATATATTTAAATAACTATTGCTCACCAAACTAACTAAACTAAGATGAACATAGCAAAGCTAACCAAACTGAAATGTAAGCTACACTGAAACCAAAAAAATTACTAAAACTAAACCATAAAATACCACCGGTCCTAGAAGACAGAATTCTGGGTATTTAAGTTGTTAGACCAACTTAATTTTTACCAACTTATTTGTATTATTACCAACTTGTCATATTTTTAAAATCTTATTGAAGATTTTTTTCAATGTTAAAGACTGCAACATTAAGCAAGTGTGTACCAGAGCAAGTTAACGTATGTAGTCATTTTAGTAAGTATTCAGGGGATGTATGCTCCTGAAGGATCCGAAGTAGTCTATCCAGGAATCTAAGAGATAAGTATCCCAACAGTTACAAGCTAATGAATAAGAACAGAGATATTGGAATCTATTAGCAAAGTGCTTATTTAGCGTCTTATTAAAAGTTATGCCAAGTTACTTACAATATATATTTAACTGAGTACAACAAAAACACTTCAATCTCACTGCCCTCCTTTTCCCCAAAGAAAACGAATGATTTTATTTCTTCTATACAATAATAAGAGATATAATAAATTGTGAACATATTACTTTGCTTATGGTCCGCCGTTCACGTACCAGAGACCGCATAGAAGGACAACTTGAGAGCCATAATCCCTCGCAGGTGCATCAGGGCAGTTGCAAAAACATCGGCGAAAAATGCGTCCGTTCTTTCCTCTAGTACATCATTGTCAACGGGAAACCAGCCCATGGCAAATTGGTTAGAACGTTGCACTCCTAATCAGCAAATTGGCGGGTTCGAGCCTCGGGGGTTCTCACATCTTCGGTTTGGGCATGGCTTGCCGATGACAGCTAGTAAGCCAGAAGTGGCCATTGTAGCCTCCCTTGTCTTTGTTGGTAATTTCATTCTTTAAAGATGAAAATTCTAGATATCCTAGAGCGTTCAGCATCTCGCGAAGAAAAATATAAAGAAGAGAGGCAAATTTGTGAACCGAATTGTATTTGTACTGACGTTTCGGAACCATTTCATTTCCATCATCATAGTATTTTAGTCAATGCGTCTGATAGTCATGAATTAGTCAGTCTTGCCACCTGCCTCGTATTATAGCCGTGCTGAATGCATGAACTTTAAATTGCCCGTTGGCTGCTGATTACGCTTGTATCCCCGTGATTAGCCGCTGGCTTGCTAGGGAGATACCCTAAATATACTGAACTATACTGAACTAATCCACTATAGTGAAAAATAATCCAATATAAGGAGAAAAGTGCGTTCTTTTATTCTCAGTCAAACTAAATCATGCATCTTCGGGTAAATTAAAAGTTTTGTCGAAAAGCTCCATTTTCAATTTGACACTACCATGAATAAAGGTAGTATACACAGAAATTCGTCAGCCGAATATCTAATTAAAATGCTTTCTAAAGAGGTAAACTATTATAGAAAGTATTATTATTATTATTAGGAAAAAATATCAGCGTTATGTTGCTAACGTTCTTTTTGCTCGACAGTGTGTTCTGCTGTGTTGAGACATTTCTAAATATGGTTTTAATTGCTATCTTCCTAAGAACTAATATCCATAAATTCTTTTTTCGGCAAATGCGCTTAATATGCATCTTATTTTAAGGTTTGGATGTAAACGTCGAAGAGAATCTGTACTAATGGACAGACGCTTGACAGCACTGAAAACGCTCGAACATGTATTGGCATTTAAAGGTCCATCTGTAAGTAATTGCAATTGAATAATCACCATATGTCTACAATATTTTGACTAAAGAAAAGTTCTTTTTATGTAAAGAAATTAGTTACGTTATGTTTTCAAATTAAGAAAAGATTTTAATTTATTATTCTAATTTATAGCTATTTTTACGTCACCGGAACTTGGGGATTATCAAGAAAGTCTTATTTTTCTTAAGAAATACATAGTACTTCTTATACTTTTAAGTACTTAATGTGCCAAAAAGTGTTCGCTATTATTTCTAAGTTTTCGTAAATGCTTTCACGCCGGTATGCGAGTAATAATCAAACTTTTATAAGCTTAGTCATTTTGCATGCAGTACTCGCCCTACTGTAGTCATCCAAAGGTTTTGTCTGTGACTTCAGCTCAAAACGAACAGAGACTGCCAAGAGATTGAGAAAGCGGAAAAGAGGCCCTCGAAAGCTTTACAAAGTCGGGTATCCCCTTACAGGTTTGCCAAGTACGTAAGAGCGTTGAGTAGCCGAATTAATGGTGATGGACGCTACACACAGATTTGGCACCAGCGTTGAAAGCCCATCTTTTAAATACCGTATGTTTGTTTCGTGGGCAGGTGGAGATGATTGGCCTTGCTATGTGTCCTTAATTAATAAGAAACAGAACATACGGAAGAATAATGAGTCTTTCGAAAAATAGCCATATATATGGCCAGTCTTTTTTGCATTCACAAGATTATAAGAGACAGTGGAATTAATTCACTTATGCGGAAAATAATCAGTTATAAAAAGATAAGTAAGTTCTTGCATTACCAGTCGAACTAAATCATTTATCTTCAGGTAAATTAAAGAAATGGTCAAAATTCTCCAATTTCCTTGTGACATTACCTTGGAGGATTCAATATACACAGAAATTCGTCAGCTGAATACCCAATTAAAACATCCTTTAAAGAGGTAATCTTTTACGGAAATTTGTCTCTATTAATCTTAGGAGTAGCAATATCCGATTTACTTTGCGGACGTCCTGCACGCTCGACAGTGTGGTTTGTTGTTTTTAGGCATGCCTAAATATGACCCACATGGCGACCGTCATAAGAACTAATATCCAAAAACTAACTTTTTTCTGTAAGTGCTCTTTATTTATTTCTTACTTAAGAGGTATTGATGCAAGTGTCGAACAGAAACGGTATTTATAAATTGACAAATAAAGACACTGAAAACGATCGACTGATACCAGAATTTACTGGACGATTTTCAAAAAATACTTATCCACTAAGTACAATATGTACAAAATATTTTGACTAAAGAAATTGGTTACATTCCGTTTTTAGCTCACGAAAAGATTTAAATTTATTCTTCTAATTTATAGCAATTTTTTACGTCTCCGGAACCTGTCGATTATCAAGAAAGCTTTATTTTTCTTAACAAACACTTAGAACTTATTATACTTATTTCAAGTACTTAATGCGCCTATTTCTGTTCATAATTATTTCTAAGTCTTCGTAAATGCGTTCACGCCGGTATGCGAGTATTGATCAAACTTTTATAACTTTAGGCATTTTGCATGCAGAGGCAAAGAGAGACTGTCACGAGATTGAGGAAGCGGAAAGGAGGGCCTTGAGTGCTTTACAAATCCGGATATCCCCTTACCGGTTGATCAAGTACGTAAGGGCGTTGAGTAGCTGAATTAATGGCGATAGATTCTTTACACATAGGTTTGTCACCAGCGTTGGAAGCTCATCGTTTAACTTCCATGTGTTTGTTTCGTGGACAGGGGGGTGATTGGCCTTGATATGTGTCCTACGTCGATTGCTGACGGCGATGACTGCAGGGGAGAGCGTTGTCCGGTTCGTGGGCGAACGCGACTGACGCGTCCCACTTTGCTCCACTTCCAAGACAGATTGGAAGCCAATCAGTCAAGGACAACTATCACTCGGCATCACACGTCTTCGTCAAGTGCAATGGACAGTTAAAGGCCAGTTGTTGTGTGCATGTTGGCAGGGCAGTCTAAGAGGTAGGGCGCATGACTCACGTTCTAGTCTTCAGTTAACCCTTCTCTGTTGTTTGGCTGGCTGCCAGGAATGGTCCTTCCCGTCTCCGCTGGTTTTTACTCACTAATTCGGAACGGATTTTCCGCAAGCAGCTACCGAAGGCGTCCTGAAATGACGGGAAAATTATAACCTTATCGCTACAGGTCCCGATTATAACTGAGTCTTTATGATTGTTGAGGGGGGGGAGGGGGGAGGCTGAGGTTGGCAGATTTGCTTAATTCAGTTGACCTAATTGTGAGGTGAGGTGAGCCTCGTAGCTCAATGAAAGAGCGTTGGCTGCGCAAAAACCTTCCCTGTTATGTGGGATCGATTCCCATCGAAACCGCGAATTTTTTAAAATTGGGGCGAGAGAATTATGCAAATCGGCCAAACCCCCCTAGCAAGTAAGTTAGCCTAGTAGTCATTCTGTTGGATTGTGGATACTTGCTTGGGAAATCCTGCCTGGGCAGTCAGCTTCCTCTTCCGTAATGGTGGATTCCCTACGAACAGTAGACTGGGCGGGTAAGATCGATCAAAGCGTGATTAAATTCACGGCTCGCGGTGAGCCTCGTAGCTCAATGGTAGAGCATTGGCTGCGCAAAAAACCTACCCTATTGTGTGTTCAACTCCAGCTGAGGTCGCGAATTTTTCACATTTGATCCAACTTAATTCTTTATTTTGAGTTGACCCAATTGTGAAAATACTTGATGTGTACGGCGGGATTTGAACTCGCGTAGAAGAGAACGCCTTCACCGGAAGCCAAAGCTCTAATCACTTAGCTACAAACGCCCCACTTGGCGACATGAATTTAATCACACTTGGGTCGATATTACCCGCCCAAATTTACCGCTCGTGTGGAATTCATCAATACGGAAGAGCAAGTTGACTGCATAAGCAGGATTTCCTAAGCAATCATCTAGAATCCACCAGAA